GGAGAAAGCCTCACCAATAGGATGAATGAAATGGAAAACAGAATATCAAGGCTGCAAGATAAAGTGGTCGAATTAAACCACTCAAGCAAAGATTATGAAAAATTTAAAAAAAAAAAAGAAAGAAAGAAAAGAAAAAAGTTTAAGGCTCTTTACAAATGATTACTTGATGAGATGTCCCTTCTGCTGTCCTATCTGAAATTTCTGCCTTGCAAGTGTCTTTTAGACTAGCTAATGGAAGCCAAGCTTTGTCTGTAGAAAACACTGGTTGCTTGAGAGAAAAGAGAGTAACTTTCCACTAACATGTAGGTTGTCAGCCTGAATTAGCTTCTAGGAGGAAAAAGTAGACACTATGGAAGGCACCCCCAGAGCCTGTCATAGGGAACAAAGCTCACAGGGCTGGAACTGGGACTGGGAGGCTCCAGATAGGGTGGTGAATGCAGGAATGGTGGAACTAGGGCCTCCTCTCTGTCCCTAGCACTGCAGTGGGTGGGGTGCAAGTGGAAGAGGTGAACACTGAAGATGCCTTTTAATCCTGGGGTCACTCAGGAGTCAATCCTGGGGTCAAGCCCGCCATCCAGTTTTTCCTTCCAGGAGCCCAGTGGGCTGAGGGAGCTCCTAGAGGACTGCTGGGATGCAGATCCAGAGGCACGGCTGAGTGCTGAGTGTGTACAGCTGCGCCTAGCAAACCTAGTCTACCCGCAGGAAGCCTACACCCTCCCAGAGAGCTGTCACTATGGCTACCCACTTCTCTTTCCAGAAAACTGCCCTTCAACACCTGACTCCACCACTTTCCCTTGCAGGCCTCAGCAGAGTGCCTGCCACCTCAGTGTTTAGCAAGACCCTGGAGCCAGGAATCCTCAGTCTGCCAGTACCAGTTCTCACATGTAAATGAGCCATTTATGTGGACTCTTTGTACATGCCACATAAATGGTGATCATATGCCTATCTGGTCTGCCTGTCACTGCCTTTTCCACTTGCTGAACCCTTGGATTCTTCTATGGGCTTCTAATCCACAGGGTGGTTATGCACAGGAAAGAAAATAAAGTCAGATTTCCTGTTCTTGACCTTGGGCCTTCCTTCTTTTCCACCAGCAGGTATATGTGGGTTTTTGTTTGTGTTTGAGGCGGGGTCTTATTGTGTAGGCTTGGCTGGCCTGGTATGGTGATGCACCTATCTGTAGTCCTATCAATCCTGCAAGACCCTGTATATATATATATATATATATATATATATATATATATATATATATATTTCACCGCGCCCGGCCTAGACTTTTTTTTGGTCTTTTTGAGACAGGGTCTCCCTGTAGCCCCAGCTGACCTGGAACTCACTATGTAGACCAGGCTGGCCTTGAACTCACAGAGATCTGCCTGCTTCTGCCTCTGGACTGCTGGGATTAAAGGCATGTGCCACCACGCCGGTCAGTGACCCTTTTTTAATTTTTTTTTTAAATTTTGGGGCTGGAGAGATGGCTCAGAGGTTAAGAACACTGGTCATTCTTGCAGAAGACCCGGGTTTGAATTCCAGCACCTACATGGCACCTAACAACTGTCCATAACTCCAGTTCCAGGGGATCTGACGGCCTCTTTTGTTCTCCTTGGGCACTGCAGGACGTGGGTGCACTTACCTACATGCAGGCAATACACTCATACACAGAAAAATAATATTTTTTAAAAATTTTATTTTTAAAAAATTTTATTTTTTTAAAATTGTTATTTACATGTATGAGTGTGCCTGCATGTGTGTAAGTGCCTGTCTTGTGCAATGTCCATGGATGACAGAAGAGGTGTCAGATCCCCTGGAACTGGAGTTATGGAGTTATGGACAGTTGTTAGATGCCATGTGGGTGCTGGTGACTCTGCCTACTTCTTCGTCTTTATTCTTTTTGTTTTGTTTTGTCTTGTTTTGGGTTTGGTTTCTTTTTGGTTTTTTCTTTTTGAGACAGGGTCTTACTATGTAGCCCTGGAACTTCCTATGTAGAACAGTCTGTCCTCAAACTCACAGAGCGCCACCTGCCTTTGCCTCCAGAGGGCGCCACCACACCCAGCCTCCCCTTCATCCATTTTGCTGTTTTCTCCATCAGGTCATATAATTTTTTCATTAAAAATATTTTAAATTTGCTATTATTATTACTGTTACTGTGTGATTATTGCTGTATTATTACTGTTACTGTATTACTATTACTGTTACTGTGTGATTATTGCTGTATTATCACTGTTACTGTATTATTATTACTGTTACTCCATTATCTCTGTTACTGTATTATTACTGTTACTGTGTGATTGTTACTGTATTATTACTGTTACTGTATTACTATTGCTGTTACTGTGTGATTATTACTGTATTATCACTGTTACTGTATTATTATTACTGTTATTGTGTGTGTGATATGTGGATCAGTGGAGTCCATGCCGTAGTGCACAAGTAGAATCCGGGGACAGCTGTGTGGAGTGAGTTCTCTCCTTCTACCTTTAGTTGGGTTCTGGGGATGGAACTCAGGCCCCCAAGGTTTACCTAAGAAGCATCTTTCCCAGCTGAGCCGTCTCACCAGCCCCTCAGGTCACATCTTATTTGTTCTTATAGTACCAGTGCCCTCTCTTTCAGCTCTTAGCACACTTCACATTCGGCACTTCTTTCTGTGTTTATCTGTTTCTGTGTCTCCAGCTTTGTTTTTTGAAAGAGGGTCTCCCTATATGACTCAGGCTGACTTGAATCTGAGGCAGTCCTCCCACTTTAGTCTCTCTTGGGTGGAAGAGTTACAGGAATGAGCCACCACTCTCATGTTTTTAAAGACAGGGTCTTGTTTAGATGTTAAGAGCACTGGCTACTCTTGCAGAGGACACGGGTTCGGGTCCCAGCACTCATATGGGGGGCTTCATCGCCCTCTTCTGGCTTCCGCCGGCACTGCATATACATACATACATACATACATACATACATACAAAACACTTAAACACATAAAAATAAATACATCGCCCAGAATGGTGGCGCACGCCTTTAATCCCAGCACTCGGGAGACAGAGGCAGGCGGATCTTTGAGAGTTCAAGGCCAGCCTGGTCTACATAGTGAGTTCCAGGCCAGCTGGGGCTGCAGGGAGACCCTGTCTCAAAAAGACTAAAAAAAAAAAAAAATCTCAACAAAAATGACAATTTCTCCTGGCAACTAGCCCCGTCCCCGTGCCGCCCTCGCCTCGTCCCACCCCCACAGGAGCTTTTCTGCGAGACAGTTTCTCAGCAGGTACATCTCCCTAAAAGACTCCACCCTGCCCCTGAAGGAACGGTTTCCTTCTAGTTTAGAAGGACCACAGAGATTGACAAGTCCGTTCTCCAATCATCGCGGCGAGTGACCACATACCAACTGGGCGGTGACAGGGGGCGGTGCGGAAGCAACAGAATGAATAGGGGTGACCAGGAAGTGCGAGCCAAGACTTGGAAGGACAGAGCCTTCTCTCAACATCTTCGGAAGGTGACAGGACATCTGGACTCCCTAATTCTCTTCTTACCCTTTGTTGGGTCCGGGGTTTGTTTGCAGTCGGGAACTAGGAGCTCCGTTTGCCTTTTCTTAGTAGGGGTGCGTGGACTTAGACGTTTGGGGATCTTGAACGTCCTGCTTCGCCTTGCTCGAGATCCGGGTGCCCTCGAAGCGGGGAGTTTTGGTTGTCTGAGGTCCCTTCTCACTCCGCGGGTGGTAAAAGGCCTCGGACTCCGGTGCAGGGAAAGGGAGATTCTCGACTCCACCTTCCTGGAGCTAGTCCCCTCCAGGTGTGCGGGTGGTAGTGAAGAGGGGCGAGGGGCCCTGGGAACCAGATCCTCCTGGTTAAGACGCTAGGGCTAGAGTAGCAGGGCGCTGGAGAGAAAGTAAACATTTCTTAAGTGGAGGTCGCGGTAGTACTGTAAGTGGGAGCCTCTGTAAGGTGGTAGGCGGGAGGGTGGGGCTCGGGCTGTAGTAAATCCCTTTCCTCTTCTGGGCCGTCAGCTTTTTACCTCTTTTCTTTCTCCTCAGGCTTGAGCAAACATCTGAACATGTGGAATCCCAATGCTGGTAAGTGAGGGGGCTCGGCCTCTCCTCCACCCTTGGCCATTTTCCAATGGAACCGGAAGTTTCTATCGCTAGCCCCCCCCACTTCCCCTCCCCTCACCCCTCTCCCCCAGCAAAAGCAAAGTCCTAGGACCACTGCTACCATGCTTTTGCCTTTCCTTAAGTGTTATGAAAGGCAGTACTTTTTATTATTTGTTGACAAGTTCTGGGCAGCTCTAATCCCTAATCTCTGGTTCTTCCACCAGGATACCCAGGACCAAATCCATATCCACCCCATGGCGGGTGTCCAGGTTCCCATCCTACCTGTCCACCACCTGTCAATCCTGCTTTTCCTCCTGGATCCTGTCCCCCTCTTCCAGGAGTCCCCCCAGGGAATCCAGCTGTCCCTCCATGTCGGCCCCTTTATCCTGTGCCACAGCCAGGGTGTCCAGGATACCAACCCTCAGGTCCGTACCCTCCCCCACATCCACCACCTGCCCCTGGCATGTGCCCTGTGAATCCTCTGGCTCCTGGCATGGTAGGCCCAGGAATGGTGATGGACAAGAAGATGCGGAAGAAAATGAAGAAAGCTCATAAAAAGATGCACAAACACCACAAGCATGGCAAGGTCTGTGTCCCCTGGAAGAGGTGCCTTTCAGAGGGACTAGGGGTGGGTGCGAGTTTTGAGGATTCATGGTCTGTGGACACGGGGGATGACAATCATGTTGCTGGTTTCTTCCTTTTTGTAAGGAAATCTTTCTAAGATGAATTTAATAATCTTGAGGCATCAGGCCCCTCCTATCTGAAAAGGGGAATTTGAGCGTTGGAATGAATATCAGAACCCAAAGTCCCTTCCTTGTCTGCCTTAACTGTCTCCCAGGACTTTGCCTTGCCCCACCTTCAGGTGCATGCTTTAGCAAGTTGGACACACCCATTGAGATTGTCCAAATGTCAACTGAGTCAGTCCAATGACAAAACAAAGTCCTGTGTTAATTGTTATATAAGACTTTGTTTCGTCACTGGACTGGGACAACCTGTGCCTTCCCCTGCTGTTTAGTTTCTCTCCTTTGGTATTGTCTTCCCTGGGTGTTGTTTTAATTACATAGGCATATCTTCAGCCACTCAGTCTCTAACAAAGCCTGGGGTAAAGAGGATTCTATTCTCACCGTAGCCCCAAGACAAAGTAGCCACAGGAATGCTAATTAGCAAGGTGGCGTTTCTCTGAGGACTCTGGAAAGAGGACACCCACTTGGATCTTGAGGCTTCAGTTACATTTTACTGCCTAGTAGTTTTTACTTTGCAGATTTGAGTTCTAGTTCCTGATTTTAATAGAAATGTTGGAGACTGAATGAAAGTGAAAACCCTGGAGAGACTAAACTGTTTCCAATGGCAGTTGATGGAAACATGTCTGTGGAGATCCTTGAATGGGACTCTTCCAGCCTTCCCTCTGACCCTTTCCCTGTTGGGGCTTAGAAGAAGTAGAGCTCTCCGCACACCTCTGCTGTTCCTACTCTCTTAGATGCATAGACTCTAATTTGGTGTCATTCTGTGCAGCTAATCAATAGGCGTTTAGAAGGTAGCAGCAGTTTTCTAACATTGTAATGATTGTGCATATGCCTTTTCATTGGCTCAGGTATGGAAAGTTAGACCCTTGATCCAAAGGCAGTATGTTAGCCAGGCGTGGCACGCCTTTAATCCCAGCACTTGGGAGGCAGAGGCAGGTGGATCTCTGTGAGTTCGAGGCCAGCCTGGTCTCCATAGTGAATCCAGGCCAGCTGGGGCTACAGGGAGACCCTGTCTCAAAAAGACCCCCCCCAAAAAAAAACCAACAAAAAACAAAAACATAAACAAAACCAAAGGCAGTATGTCAAATTCTGTGGAGTGATTTAAGAGTTGTTCGAGTTTGCCTTCCAATGCTGTAACAAAACACTCTGACCAATACCACCTTGGGGGGAAAGGGTTTATTTTATCTTACATCTCCTGAGTCACAGTTCATCAGGGAGCTCAAGGTAGGAACTCAGGGCACGAACCTAGATGCAGTTGCTGAATGAAACAAACACAAGCCACTGAGGAGTGCTGCTTACTGGCGTGGTTCCCTGGCCCATGCTCAGCCTGCTTTTTCTTTTTTTTTCAAGTCTTTTTTTTTTTGGTCTTTATTTTGAGGCAGGGTCTCCCTGTAGCCCCAGCTGTCCTGGAACTCACTATGTAGACCAGGCTGGCCTTGAACTCACAGAGATCTGCCTACCTCTGCCTACCAAGTGCAGGGATTAAAGGCGTGCGCCACCATGCCCGACTCAGCCTGCTTTCTTATACAATACAGAACTACCTGCCCAGGGGTGGTACTGCCCACAGTGATCTGGACCCTCTTACATCACTCAAAAATCAAGAAAATACCTCACAGACATGACCGTAGGCCAGTACAGTGGAGGCAGTTCCCCATTTGCGGCTCCCTCTACCCAGCTGTATCAAATTTACAACTAAAGTTATCCAGCACAGGAGTCTGATCCATTCCTGTATGCTCACTGCTGAAGGAAACTCCTGCTTTTGTTGGTTAAGGACACAATATGGTTCAAGATTCCTTCTGTTGGGTCATTGAATGGAAGGTGGGGAACCAAAGAATGGCCCATAGCCTGATGAAATGTCATTTGGATCTGATACTATGTCCTTTCCCCTTGCAGCATTCCTCCTCCTCCTCTTCCAGCAGTGACTCTGACTGAACGCAGGCCTGGGCCCTCCTCCCCTCAAGTGTCACCAGTTCTGAGCTCCCATCAAGCTTCAGTTGTCATCTCTTACCAAGGGAAATTAGCCCTCTACTCCCTGCCCCACTCCTACCTGTGCCTTCCCTTGCTGCTCAATCCTGATTGGCTAGGGAGACTTGGAAGAAGCCTGCCTTCGCCTTGCTTGACATGGCTGAAGGGTTTAGCAGGGAGCTGTCTTTTGAGGACGGTGACTTGCTGAGCTGAATGATGAAGACCATGCCAAGATCTGTAAAATGTGATCTTTCATTTCCTGTCGTAATACTTGTGGTTGGGGTTTTGTGGAAATGTAATTATGATGAAAACCTTGTACTTTTGTAATGGTGGCACATTAGACTGATTTAGTGGCGACTTTATTCAGCAGGCCTTTTATTGTTGTAACTGCAAAGCTGTTGAGGGGTCTGTTGGCTTGATGAGCTTTTTTTTTGGTTTTGAGACAGGGTCTCCCTTTTAGCCACAGCTGGCCTTCTGGAACTCACTATATAGACCAGGCTGGCCTTGATTTCACAGAGATCCACCTCCTTTTGCCTCTGCCTCCCAAGTACTGGCATTAAAGGTGTGTGCCACCATGCCCATCTTGATGAGCTCTTCTGGAACCTAGTCTATTCCTTAGTTCAATATGCTATCTCAGACTACTCTCAGTTTAAATAAAGCTGTTTCTCCTGGTCTCTATTTACCTGTGCTATTACCTTGGCTGGGCTCAACACACTGGATTATTATTTTATTATTTTGGACTTTTTTTGAGACAGGCTCTTCCTGTAGCCCCAGCTGGCCCACAGAACTATGTAAACCAGTCTAGACCAGAGATCCACCTGCCTCTGCCTCCAGAGTGCTGGGATTAAAGGTGTGTGCCACCATGCCCAGAACACTGGATTATTTTTGCTACCTTTGGTCATACCCTTAAAAGTACATCACTTTTTTTTCCCTCTGAGACAGTTACACATTACCCAGGCTGGCTTAGAATTCCCTATGTAGTCAAGAGTGACCTTGAAGTTCTGATCTTCCTGTCCCTACCCTCCAAGTGCTAGAATTACAGACTTGGGTCACCACATCCTATGTATAGGGTGCTAGGGATTTAGGGCCTTGTGCATGCTAGGCACAACTGAGCTGCATTCCCAACCTAAAGTTCCATTTATAGTAAGGTACCAGACCATAAATGAGGAAGACTACAGTATTTCTAAGGGGGAGGAGACAGAATTGGCTTAGGTTTAGTGGGTTATATCTCTGAAGACTTAGTTCTTGCTATGAGTAGTGGCTATTCCTTATATAAATGGGTCCTGACTCTAGTCATCCCTAGTTCTCCCCGTTCCTTGTTGGCTTCTCCCAATCACATTATTGTCCTGGCTCCTGAGAACATTGGGTTTGCATCCCTTGCTTTGTGTATCAGGCCATGTTTCCAAAACTGCTGATTCTCAAATGTTTTACCACTTCCTGTCTACAAGACCACCAGAGATTCTACTTTTTTTTTTTTTTTTTTTTTTTTTTTTTTCTTTGAGACAGGGTCTCCTGATAACCCCAGCTGGCCTGAAATTTGCTATGTAGACCTGGCTAGCCTCAAACTCACAGAGATTCACCTGCCTCTGCTTCCTGAGTGCTGAGATTAAAGGCATACACCACCACACCTGGGTCTGCTATTGTCTTTTTTTTCTTTAAGATTTATTTGGGGCTGGACAGCTCAGCCATTAAGAGCACTGGCTGCTCTTGCAGAGGACCCAGATTTGGTTCCCAGTACCCACAGAGCAGCTAACAACTGTCTGGAACTCCAGTTCCAGGGGATCCAACACCTTCTGACCTCTGTGGTCATTGCATGACACAAGTGTACTTACATTCATGCTGGCAATACACTCATACACATAAAATAAGATATTAAGAGCCAGGCGTGGTGGTACACACCTTTAATCTCAGCACTTGGGAGGCAGAGGCAGGCGGATCTTTGTGAGTTCCAGGACAGCTGGGGCTAAAAGATTGTTCTTTTATGTGTTTGTATGTATGTATATGTACCACATACATGAAGTGCCTGAGGAGGCCAGAAGAGGGCATCTGATCCCTTGGAACTGGAGTTACAGACTGATGTGAGCCACCATGTGGGTGCTGGGAACTGAACCTTGGTCCTCTGTAAGAACAGCAAGCGCTCTAACTGCTGAGCCATCTCCTCAGCAACTCCCTCTCTTTAAAAAATGTTTATATATTTTTATGTGGGAGGGGTGGTGTGTTTGTGTGACACGGCACACGTGTTGAAGTCAGAAGGCAACTTATAGTAGTTGGTTCTTATCCCACCATGTGGGACCATGGGTCAGACTCAGATCATGAGGCTTGGCATTAAGTTCCTTTATCTGCTTAGCCATCTTGCTGGCTCTGTTTCCCTGTCTTGTGTCTTGAATTGTCCCAGGGCTTCACATACTAAACAAAGTTCTACCCTCAGACCCCACCTTTTCTTTCAAAGTTGGCTATAACTGTTGGCCAGCCCTAATACAGCTATTTGAGCTTTGTTTTGTCCTCTGAAGTACAAATAGCTTTTCAGATAGTAACTTAACTTTCACCCCTAGTTGTTGAAGCCTCACTAGTATAAATGGTCTAACTGCAAAATCTCTAATATGTTTTTATTTATTTTATTTTATTTTTTACTCTTTTTGAAGCAGGGTCTCCCTGTAGCCCCAGCTGTTTTGGAAGTCACTATGTAGACCAGGCTGGCCTTGAACTCACAGAGATCCATCTGCCTGCCTCTGCCTCCCAAGTGCTGGGACTACAGGCATGCACCACCACGCCCAGCTATGTTTTTGTTTTTTATTTTATGTGTATGAGTGTATTGCCTGTGTGTAGATAGGTGCACCCGTGTCATGCAGTGTCCACAGAGATCAGTGGAGGGTGTTGGATCACCTGGAACTGTTATGGATGGTTGTTAGCCACCATGTGGTGCTGGGAATCGAACCTGGGTCCTCTGTAAGAGCAGCCAGCATTCTTAACCGCTGAATCATCTCTCTCCAGCCCTCCAACTACAAAATCTTGAGGTTCAAGCTTTGCAGTAAGCTTGCTCCTTAGTTTTCTTTTTCCTGGGGATCTACTTCTTTTCTTTTCTTTCTTTCTTTCTTTTTTTTTTTTTTGGTGGCAGCGGTGGGATCTTTTCCTTTCTTTGAATATTTGGTCTGCCCTTTTACCCCTGGCCAGGTGATAAGGTTTTTTGTTTTGTTTTGTTTTGTTTTTTTAGGCTGGGTCTCACTAGGCAGTCCTGGCTGGTCTGGAACTAACTATGTAGTCCTGGCTGGTCTGGAACTATGTAGACCAGGCTGGCCTGGAACTCAAGAGATCCACCGCTTGCCTGCTGAGTACAGGGATTAACTGCATGTGCTACCACACCAGGCCCCAAAACAATAAGCTTCTGTTTCACATTGTTCCTCATACCTAGCTCCTCATTTGGGTGGTAGGAGGAAAGCCATGAAGAGTCCTCAAACTGTACTTTCCAACTGTTTTCAGATGATTCCACCTAACTGATATTAAGTCAAAACAGATGCCCAAAGGACTTGAACAAGAGTCAATAAAATTGAGTATTTGCTGTCTTTTAAAAATCCTTTTTTTCAGCCAGGCGTGGTGGTGCACACCTGTAGTCCCAGCACTTGGGAGGCCAGAGGCAAGCAGATCTTTGTGAGTTCAAGGCCAGACTGGTCTACATAGTGAGTTCCAGGACAACTGGGGCTACAGGGAGACCCTGCTTCAAAAAGAAAAAAAAAATCATTTTTTCTTGGGGCTGGAGAGATGGCTCAGTGGTTAAGAACACTGGTTGTTCTTGCAGAAGACCCAGGTTCGAATCCCAGCACCCACATGGCAGCTAACAACCGTCTGTAACTCCAGTCCCTAGGGGATCCAACAGCCTCTTCTGATCTCCGAGGGCATTGCACGCATGACACAGGTGCACTTACCTACATGCAGGCAATACACGCATACACATTAAAAAAAAATTTAAAAAATCCTTTTCTTGCTGGGTATGGTGGCACATGCCTTTAGTCCCAGCACATGGGAGATAGAGGCAGGTGGATCTCTGTGAGTTCAAGGCCAGCCTGGTCTACATAGTGAGTTCCAGGTCAGCTGGGGCTACAGGGAGACCCTGTCTCAAAAAGACCAAAAAAAAAAAAAAAAAACAAAAAATCCTTTTCCTGCTGTGGTCTAACTCCCTAAGAGAGCTCATCTCTATATCCCACGCTGGCCTTGAACTCTCAGTGCTACTGCCTTACCCTTTCAAGTGCTTGCTGGGCTTATAGGTGTGCACCATACCATCATGCTACATTTTTTTTTTTAATTTTGAAAATTTCATCTATTTATTTTGTGTGGGTTAGAAAAAAAATTTAAAGAACACCACAGCAATCAATCATTCATAAACCTACCACCTCCAACATGTTTACATTTTGCAGTATTTGATAAATGTACATACCTGAACCACTTAAAAGATTGCATGTTTCATCATGTATGTCCTAAAAAGTACTTCCCTTTGTAACAATTCCAGTATCATGCTTCAAAATTTAATTATTTTTTGTCTTTTTAAGACAGTGTCTCTCTGTTGCCCCAACTGGCCTGGAATTCACTATGTAGACCAGGCTGGCCTTTAACTTACAGAGATCCACGTGCCTCTGCCTCACAAGTGCTGGGGCTAAATGCTTGTGCTCCCATGCGTGGTGTTTTGCTTTGTTTTGTTTTTTGAGACAAGGTCTTACTGTGCAGCCCAGGCTGGCTTCAATATTTCTTGTCACAATTTCCTGAGTGTTGGGATTTCCATACCCAGCTCCAACATGCATTTTTCCTTCCCTTCCTTCCCTCCTTTCTTCATTTGAGACAGGGTCTTATGTATCCCAGGTTGGCCTCAAACTTGCTATGTAGCCACTAAGAATAGCCTTGACCTTCTGATCCTTCTGCCTTTACTTTCTGAGTGAGTGCTGGGATTATAGCATGTGGCAACCATAACGTGGGTCTCTGTAGTGCCTAGAAATTGAACCCATGCCTAGGCAGTCACTCTGCCAACACTTCTAGCCACCAACATGTCTACACTTCTTATATAGCCCCTCTTTCCCTGAGGAGAACCTGAGAGGTTTCCCCCAAATATTTATTGCTTTAAAATTTTTTCTTTTGAGACAGGGTTTCCCTGTGTAGCCCTGGTTGACCTAGAATTCACTATATAGACCAGGCTGACCTTGAAGTCCCAGAGATCACCTGTCTCTGCCTCCTGAGTCTGAGATTAAAGGCATGCACCCAACCTTTTCCTTTTTTTTCGTCTTTTTGACAGGGTCTCCCTGAAGCTCCTGCTGTCCTGGAACTCACTATGTAGACCAGGCTGGCCTTGAACTCACAGAGATCTGCCTGCCTCTGCCTCCCGAGTGCTGGGATTAAAGGCATGCGCCACCACACCCGGCTTCTTTCCCTTCTTTTTTAAAGAAAGTATTTTATTTTTATTTATGTGTATGTGTGTGTCTTGTCTATGTGGGGGTAGATGTATGTGAGTGCAGGTGCCCAGGGAGGCCAGAAGGGGGTGTCAGATCCTTTGAAGTTATAGTTACAGTTAGCTATTTGATGTAAGGTCTGGGAACCAAGCACTCCTAACTGCTGAGCCAACTCTCCAAACTCTTCTTCCTCCTTTAAAAATATCCCCTCCAGGGGTTGGAGAGATGGCTCAGTGGTTAAGAACACTGGTTGCTCTTGCAGAAGACCCGGGTTTGAATCCCAGCACTCATATGGCAGCTAACAACTGTCTGTAACTCCAGTCCCAGGGGATCCAATAGCCTCTTCTGACCTCTTCAGGCAGGCATTGCACAACACAGGTACACCTACCTACATGCAGACATACCTTACACTCATACACACAAAATAAAAATATTTAAAACATAATATTAAAACAAACAAAAACCCAAAATAAAAATATCCCCTCCCACCAGGTGTGGTGGTGCACGCCTTTAATCCCAGCATTTGGGAGGCTGAGGCAGGTAGATCTCTGTGAGTTCAAAGCCAGCCTGGTCTATGTGGTGGTGAGATCCAGGCCAGTTAGGGGTACAGGGAGACTGTGTATCAAATAAATAAATAGATAGATAAATAAATTAATTAATTAAAAAAAACACCCCCTTCCATCCCCCCACCCATGGTGGCACATGCCTTTAATCCCAGTACTCTGGAGGCAGAGGCAGGTGGATCTCTGTGAAATCAAGGCCAGTCTGGTCTACAGAGTGAGTTCTACCCCAGCTGGGGCTACAGGGGAGGCTCTGTCCCAAACAAAGAAAAATCTGTGTGTACAAATGTTTTGCCTGCATGTATGTGAGTGTACCAACATGAGTAGAGTACAATGCCTGTGGAAGCCAGAAGGTGCTGGAGCCCCTGCAACTGGAGTTACTGATGGTTGTTGGCTGCCATGTGGATGTTGGGACCTGAACTCAGGTCCTCTTGTAGAGGTCTTAATTGCTGAGCTATCTCTCCAGCCTCTTCCTCTTAAAAATAACTATACTTGGGGCTGGAGAGACTCAGCTGTTAAGGGCACTGAATGCCCTTGCAGAGCACCAGGGTTTGATTCCCAGCACCCACATGGTAGCTAATAACTGTAACTCCAGTTCCAGGGGCTTCTATGCCTTCTTCTGACCTCTGAGGGCATTGCACTGCACGACACGGGTGCACTTACACACATGCAGCCAATATTAATAAAAATAATAATAATAAAAACTATACTGCAGGGCAAAGGAGATGGCTCATCAGGTAAAGGTGCCTGCCATAAAGCCTGAGGGCCCTGAGTTTGATCTCCAGGACCCACATGGTGCAAGGAGAGAACTGACTCCTGAAAGTTTTCCTCTCACTTCCTCATGCATACTGTGCATGTGCACACACACACACCCCAAAGGTGGTAAAATCAATCAAACAAACATTTTGCCTCTAAAGAAACCATGCTAAACCAGGCAATTTGGTGTTTGCCTTTAATCCCAGGGTGTCTCCCTGTAGTCCCAGCTGACCTGGAACTCGCTATGTAGACCAGGTTGGCCTTGAACTCACAGAGATCTGCCTGCCTCTGCCTCCTGAGTGCTGGGACTAAAGGTGTGCACCACCAAGCCCGGCTTCAGAAATTTAACGTTTTTCGAGACAGGGTCTCATTCTGTAGTTCAAGCTGGCTGAGATTATAGGTTTGAGTCACCATGTCTAGCTTTTTTTTTTCTCTAAAGTTCAGAGTGACTTACAACTAATATTCTCTTCTTTCAACTTCCCCAGTACAGGGATTACAGATCTGCACTATTTAACCATGCGTGGCCACTGACTTCTGTAAGTTGTAAATTAGCTCTAATAATTTAAGTGAAACATTTTTGGCCGGAATTCTAGGTTATCTATACTTGTCCTGTCTCATCAAGGACTTCACATTATCAAAGTTGTTCTAATACTAGGGTTGAAGTTTAGTTACTTACTTGGTTAAGTTGTGATTTGCCATATCCTTCCATTTGAAGTTAATTTTACTGCATAACTTGAAAATAGTCTGTGTGGTGATATTTGGCACCATGATGATATACTATTCTCTAAGAAGATTTTCTTAAAACGGTGACTGATGACTGGCATGGTGGTACACCTCTTTGATAGCAGCAGAGGCAGGAGGATCTCCGTGAGATCGAGGACAGCCTGGTCTACATAGCAAGTTCCAGGTCATCTGGGGCTATAGGGAGACTGTCTCAATCCTCCCCTCCCCCACAACCTCGCCAAAAAAAAATCCAACCCAAAACAAAATTATGATTGATGACATTTGTCTGATCTGACTCAATTAGTATTTCACTCTGAGTTGCAGAATGATGTTTTCTACATTTCTTTTGCACTTACTAAATGGGACTCTATAAAAAAAAATCTTTCCCCTCGCAATTACTGAGAAATACACGTTCTTCTTAAAAATGAAATAATTTTTTTTTTTACAAATTTTTTAAAGTAAGGAGCTTGTGGGATGCTTTCAGTGTGGCAACTTAGTTTTGTCTTTTTTTTTTTTTTTTTTTTTTTTTTTAGCATTTCTATTGACTACTGGGTTTTCCTCTTTCTATCCCATCCATCCCTTTTCCTCCTCTGTTCTTGATCCATGGCGACTGCCATCTCTCGTCGCACTTACGCCTGAGCTTTCCAGCTCTCCCGCTAGGGGGCACTGTTTTTCCTCCCACCCCCAAGCTGCCGCTCTATCACACACTTCGCTGTTCTTTACCAGCCGTGTCTCTGTGGTGCCGACGCTGTCCAAGGAGTCGCTCTAGGCTCTTGGAAGGCCGTCTGCATTGCGTGGGGAAGGTTCGGACGACGCAGTCGCCTCGCCGGCCCCCGGGGCGGTTAGCGCTTCCGGGGTCGAAGGGTGCGCGGGGTTGAAAGCGGCCCGCTCCGCCCCGTCCCCCTCCCAGACCAGCAGAGGCAGCAGCCGGAGCAGCCGCAGCCTGCGCCCTCTCCCGCCCGCCC